ATATACATATACATACATATATATATATACATACATATATATATACATACATATTATAAATTTAATATACCACCAGTTAAGCTTTTCATGCTATTCATATATTATATATATATACATATATATATATATACATATATATATATATACATATATAAAAAACTGCCGGAGGTCTATATTTTTTGGCGACTTTTCGATTGAGCCCGCCTAGCCGGAATGTACCCAAACGAGCACCATAAACAAATTTTTCAAATTATGAATGACGGCAAATATAGGTCGCTTTAAAATATAATTCATAATGTGTATATATCAATAATAAAAAAATATTTCACCGCAATGCACACTTAATCATTTGTTTGTTTTATGCTTCATATTTAAATTTTTTTTATGCAAAACATTTCCGACATTGTGTATTTCTGTAAAACTGGAGTGATTTTTGATTTTGTAGGTAGATATAGGTAGACGTACGTTACGTACACGGTAATATGGAAAGAAAGCTTCCTCTAATTCATTGTTTTCAATGAGCATTTTCATTTTCATTAAGTATATACTAACAAACAGTATTCCTTTTAAATTGCGCCCAATTGGTCAGGATAGCCTAGTTGGCAGGGGGGCTTGACTCCCATTCGTGAAAACGGGAGTTCGAATCCCGCCGGACAAAGCTCACCGTGCAGTAAATGGTGACAGTTGTACGTTAAATCTGTCGACTCACAAAGTCCTCCACGTTATGTCACTATATGTACTGAATTGGAGATTGATTCAGGTCAAAATTATGATCTGCGGCTGAATGAATGGGTGTATGAACGGGTCAGATGTATTACGTATGGGTGTGGCAGAAGTCGAATTCTTTGTCTTAATGGTCACCCTTGTCTTAATGGTCTATGACAACCACAACAATTGTGCTCCATTGTTGTCAGTCACTTTACTTAAATCATATTTTAAAAAGAAGATATAAGTTAGATGCATGTAAAGAGAGGAAATCGTTATTCTTTTTGCTTAGCATTTAATGCTTGATATAGATATGGATGAATTAAATAGTTTTGTAGTGTTGATTAGATCAAATCACAGAAAAATTGCGCTAAAATCTTTCTGATTTAAATAAAAAATACACATCAAAAAGTCACATTCCTTATGATAATTTAAGATTTATTCTTAATCAAATGTTTCTATCGAAACATAATTACAAGTATGCAATGTTGGGTAAATATTGGGATGTCTAGATTTTTTATTGGTCCTAGAATGGCTTTCAATAATGGACCTCGATTCATTTCTATCTAGGCCCTTATAAATCTGCAATATTGTACAAACATTGGGGTGTCTATTCCTTAACGGATTCCATACGGGATGTATGACTATAATCTTCCCAATTCTCTTGGATCTTTTCCCATCCAAGGGAAAACGCTGGGAAAAGAGTCAGAAAGACTATAGTCACGTATGGAATTCGTTGTTAAGTTCAGACTTAAAACACGTCATGATTGTTCAGCAGAACATCTGAACAGCATTGGCATCCTTCCAACAAGTGAATGTCAAATCTGCAGAGCAGGTAAATGAATACTGAACAATTACCATCATGTCCAGGACTCGATAAAGAATCTCAAAGAAGTGGCGATGTTCACAAGTTATCTTGGCATGCTAGACGTATAATGAATTCTCTGAATGAATTTCGTGTCTCCATTAGTCTGACATTTTTATTTAAGTTCACTTTAATTTTGTTAACCTTAATTTTCACTATTCTTGGTTACTGTTCACGTATTTTAATTGTTGTGTATTCTTATCGTTCATGTATTCATATTACTCATGTTCTCGCTCTTTGTATATGTTGCTTGTATTACCACCTTGATCAAAAAGTTCCCGGAATAACCCCCGGGTGGCGCTACCATTGTTCCGATTCGAGTTTTCTTCTTTTTTTTGTTGTTAAGTTGGTACATCTGTTGTTGATATTCCCTTTAAATCATAGCGTCATAGCTTGACATTTGCCAAAGTTATGTAGCCAAGAGTACATCTATCTCTGTGTGTGTTGGCGATTTTTTACAATTTTGGAAATGGATTTAAATTTGCAGCAACGAACTTGTATTAAATTTTGCGTAAAAAACGGATTTAATGGTGCGAGAACGTTGGAAAAGTGGCAACGATTCTCTAAAGAAAACGGTCGTTTACCAGTGGCACGAGCGGTTCAAAAGTGGTCGTGAGTCAATCGAAGATGATGATCGCAGTGGCAGACCATCAACATCGAAAACCGACGAAAACATTGATAAAGTAAAAGAAATGTTGGTCAATAACCGTAAATTAACCATCAGAGAGATAGCGGATGGCTTGAACATTGGCTATGGATCCGTCCAAGACATTTTGGTTAATGATTTGGGTTCCCGTTGTGTAGCAGCAAAGTTGGTGCCAAAAGACCTCGATTTAATGCAAAAAAAAAGTGTAGACGTCGCAAAAGACATGATTTGCTAGGCTGAATCCGATCCCACATTCATCAAAAGGATCATTACTGGAGACGAGACGTGCGTTCACGAGTACGACGCAATCCAGACATCAGGCAAGTGAATGGCGTTCATCTAATGGTAATAAAATCGCAGGAAGCACTGGATGGACATACCGAAAACCGAATATAAAAAATGTTTCGAGGATTGGATCAAGCGCTGGAATAAGTGTGTTGCAGTCGATGGGGATTACTTTGAAGGGGACAATATAGATTTAGATGAATAAACTTGTATTTTTAATTTTCTGAATAAATTCCGGAAACTTTTTGATCAAGGTGGTATATGGATTGACTTCCAATAACGTGATATGTTAAAAAAATTTTAATATTGTTCTAAATCTTAATAAATCAAGGTGCTTTATTGAAAGCCATTCTAGGACAGAAATTAAAAATCTAGAAAACCCAACATCGGTCCCTCGGTGCATGGCCCTATAGGACCCATATTGGGCCGATTCGGGCCCAACTGGTGCCAAGATAAATTTGTTGCTGTGATAGTAATTTTTATTTATTTCATACATAACCTAACTGATTGAAATTTTAAAAATGTAAATTAAATATAAAACTAGAGTTTAAACTTTTGTTTAATTAATATAAATTTTTTAATATCCACTTGCTTTTTTATTTATTACGTCATGTTTTTTAATATGTCATAATGTTGTAGGTGGCAAGCATAATTTTTCATTTCAATAAGTGACACTCTACCTAAAATGATTGGCCACACCTGATGTAATTATTGAAATGTAGCATTTCTTATCTGGTCCCTCTATTCCGCCCAAAAAAGTTTTCACAGTCAGGAGGCACTTCTGAAATAGGAAATTCAGCGTGGAGCATTATACTCAAAAAAAATTTTTGTCGTATAATTTACTAAATGCAACTCCTTGCTCTGTTTAGTAAATTGAATGTCAAAATGGCATTAAAACTGCAAGATCGTCAGGTCATTTAGATGTCTTTATTATTATTACTATTATTTTATTTTATTCGTTTAGACTGAATTACCAATGTCTATACAGCAAAAGCGTTGATAATTTTTTTAAGGAAAATAAAAATTATACATAAGGCATTTATTGCAAAATCCTTTATGAGTCGTTTCTATTTTAACGCTATTACATTTGCATACCTGCCAATTACTACGCTTTTTGCGAAATATTTGTTGAAGTGGTAGACATTTAAAAACCAAAGCTTTCAGAATTGTTGGTGATTTTTATTGACATTTTAAAAGTTTCACCGCGAGAGAACTCGAACAAAGTGCATATGAACTTTTAAATCATTTACGTATAGTGTTGTGAAAAATAGTTTAAATGAATTTTTAAAAAAATCTTGAGTTAAAACATAAACTTAGCTACCACTAGAAAAAGAGTAGAAAGTTGCCAGCCCTGCATTTGTTAAAAATGTTTCCTTTATTTCGTGTTTATTAAAGTTAGTTAGTTTAGTGTTTAGTAAACGGAAATACGAAATAGCGTTAACACTGCAATGTCGTTATGTCATTTAGATGTCATTATGCTATTTTTTACACTAATTCCCCACTGCCTACAACAAAAGCGTTGATCATTTTTAGATAATAAGCTCAATAAATGTTTTGTGTAAAACTCAATCTCAATCCTAAAAATATTTTAACATAACATTTGAAAAAATGGCCAAATAAAGATCGAGAAAAATTACATAACTTCCTTTTTTATTTCTTAAATATTTTTCTAGGTGCCCTATCTCCTATTTTGTGAACATGATTATGTTTTGAAAATAGGTAAAGAGTGATAGCTCAATTGATTAACAGTGTAGAAAAGTGAGTGCACAAAACACCTAAAGCTATTTGATCGTGGGAGAAAACAGATAAGAGTTGAAAAAGGATTTTAGTAGATACATTTTCAAGTTTCAATCTGCAGATCTTGATGCTTTCTAGACTCGCTCTCTTTAATTGCGTTTTTCCACAGCATTTTTTTTGACACTTAAATCATATTTGGGGCCCTTATTGTGTATACGTTTTTGTCGTCATTTTATTGCATCGTCATTTAAATAGTATAATTAGGATGATTATTATAACGCCGTATAATAAAGACAAGAATGTATAAGTTGGCTGTTATAAATAATTTATATTATTCTTTGAAAATTAAAAATAATTTAGAAGGATGCTGTCATGCTGAACATCCTTTATCACCAATCAGGAAATTAGATATTACTTACCACGATAAGGATGATGACAGTACACGAGTAGAAAACAGAATCTCTGAATAATGGCCACCAGGTCAACTCCACCACCTTAAGATCAAAAATATTTAATATTACATCTAATAACTTAGATATCTAATATTATATTTAATAACTAGATATCTAATAATAGGCTATCGGTTTTTTTTATTATATATGCATATTTGAAGAGACATTTTCAAGGGTATTTATTGCTGTTATTGTCTTGCCTGTTTCAGTGCTTAGTATTTAAAAAAAAGGGCGTTTATTAAACAGGGTAAATATCATAAAGTTGTGACATTATGGGTGTGTTTAATGTAACAGAAAAATGTATTTGCTTTAACTTTAATTTTGACCCCTTAACGGCCACATAATTTTAAAGAAAACGGTCATAAAAATGCACATTTTTTATTCAAAAAAAAATTGCTTAAAACTAAGTTTATGCATTCAATTGTGGGTCAATATTTAGCCTACCATGTTTGATGAGTGCTGATATCTAGTTTAAAATAAACTAACCATCTACAAACACATTGAAATAGTCTGGTACTGCCCTCTGGAGTTTAAGATTGTGGCATAAACATGATTCCGGGCATTAAAAGAGAATGCTTTAGTCTTTTTGGATCGTTTCTTTTGAATAATTCAGCCCGGAAATATCACGGAAACAAGAAGAAGAGCGCGAAATTTCACCCCGAGTTTCGAGACACTTGCATGATTTTTATTTTAAATTTGATTGTGGTAAATAGGATAATCTAAGGAATTATTTGAAATTTTTCTAATAGATCTATAACAAAATAAATTGGATATTAATTTTTTCTTATTTCTCCGATTGTAGCCACTCTACAAATGTCACATGTTCCACCCACTCAACTCGGCATACGTTAATTTGGAAGGAGAAAACCCTTTCCACTGAAAAATATTAATTTAATCGAGTAATTTAATGACTGGACTAAATTAACATTTTTCGTTACTGTGACGACCATTCGTTTATATATTGTTATTATATATTTGTATTAAATATTTTTCGCGTGTTATTTTTCCCAGCTGTTTCTATGAAGATGGTTTACTTTTAAATTTAGAAGCATACTACTATTTGCTGTAATAGCTACCAACCTAGACGATTTTTTGGGGGGAAATTTTTCAGTGGTAGTAGAATGTTACTGAATCTTTTTTTTAACGTGTGCAGATTTTATTTTCATTTTTCTTTAACATTAAAATATGGTTTTTGATACTGATAAAATATTTCTCGGTGAGCGCAATAATTAGTACAATTGTTAATACTCTTCGATATAGTGTGTGAATAACGTAAAAATAGAAAAGTAATAATGAAAGAAAGGATTCTATAAATCGGAGAATCAGTTTAAAATTATATAAGAAATAGCTGCCTTTGTGCTGTAGACGCTAAGAACGCAATTTTTTGGATGATTGTTTTAAGATATCGTTGAGATTTTAGATTTATGTAATTCATCGGTATATAGAACGTCCCAAAAAAAAAAAGAAAAAAAAAGTAAAAGGAAAATGGTAATTTCTCAAATGCACAGTGCTTTTTTATTTGGTTATTCTTTGTTCATATTTTTTTTGAATTTATTAATTATTTGCATAATGAGACAAGGCAATAACTCTAATAATTTAAGAACAGTGATTTAATAATTCTAGTCTATAACTGATTCAATGGAAGAACACTGATTTATTAATTTTAAGCTTTACCTTATGTAATTTAAAAACACTGATCAAAGAATTATAAACTATAAGTCATATAATCTAAGAGTAATGATTTAAAGAATTTCAAGCTATAACTCATGTAATTAAAGAACATTAAACGATGAAATTTAAGCTATAACTAATGTTATTTAAAAAACCTAACTAAAAATGTAAGTTTTTTTTCCTCGATTTACTATAAATTAACAGTACTCACAACAAAGCAGCATTTCATTATTAAAAAAAATAATATATTGCAAAAATAGGAGAAATAAAAAAAGACTAGCATAAATAGAATATATGAAGTTAAAAACATTATAATCATTTTCATAAAATAAAATTGATCAATATATTTAATTTAAGCATTTTACAAACTTAATTTTAATTAGCATATAACTTTTACTGATTATGAGTTAGTTTTTTTTTTCATTCATCAAAGACTATAAAAGTTAAAAGAAAGAAATTCCTGATACTTTCGAAGACTTTAAACAAAAAGAAACTAAACGAAAGTAGAGGGAGAAAAAAGTAAAAAGTTCCTATAAGAAATTCTTAATTAAATTTATTTCGAAACAAAAAATAAAAACCACCGTGGGCTTAAAGAAAATGCAGAGGTAAAAGATGCGTAGTTTTTAATTACCGTCTAATAAGAGGGCAATCTATACAATATCAGTATACTATTTGGCAAACTACGAATTGTTTATTTTTTAATTATATTTAAATGTTTTGTTTCTTCAATGAATGCTAAAAACAATAATCGAAGGAAACTAACACAAGTATAACTTATACTGCCATCCATCAGTTAATTTTTATTAAATACTGATTACTGAATAATCTAAAACTTTGCTGTCTTTCTTTTCACAGTGTATTAGCTTTTCATTGATTGCTGACTTCAGTAATCGCGTCTTTATCGTAATCTAACTGAATCATCACGGTATAGACTGGAGAAATGAAATCGTTACTTTATTTATTTTGCTTAATTAATTTTTTACATATAATTAATTTTTTACAGAATATGCTTACCCTGCCAGAAAAAATGCCACATATACCTATTACAAACAACACATTGAAAACTGCAGATCCAACTATTGTTCCTGTTCCTACATCACCTTTGGCAACAAGGACACCTAAAATNGCTCATATTTTTATTTTATTTCATTTGTTTCTTGTATTTAAATGAATAAAAAAATCTTGTGTTAAAACATAAATGTAGTTACCACTGGAAATTTTTTTTACAAAAAGCGTTGAAAGTTGGCAGCCCCGCATTTGTAAAAAATGTTTCCTTTATTTCGTGTTTATTAATTCTTTAATGGGCCATTTATTTCTACTAAAGGTAAATTAAAGTATTTTTGGAATTGGTGTTAAGGATATTTACCACAACCTATTAGGAACTTATTGACTTTAATTTTTTGTTATTTATAAAATAAATGCTACAAACTTCAAAATGAATTATGCATTTTATGACTTTTATATGCTTTCTAAAACAGGCAAATGGTTACCAATTTTATTCAAACGCACTACAAGAAAGCTGAAGTTATTAACAAATGGAAACCCATATTAAAAGTGGTAAAAAAGTTCACCATGAACTTTAAAAATTGGTGGTAAGTATACTTACCACGGCCTTAGAAAGGGTTAAAGTTAGTTAGTTTAGTGTTTAGTAAACGGAAAGATGAAATAGCATTAAAATTACAATGTCGTTATGTCATTTAGATGTCATTATTGCTACTTTTTTTCCTACTGCAGACAGCAAAAGCGTTGATTATTTTTAGATAATAAGCTCAATAAATTTTTTGTGTTAAACAATCTCAATCCTAAAAATATTTTAACATAACATTTGAAAAAATGTTATGTTATCAGAAAATAAAAGGTTAAATAAAGATCGAGAAAAAAAACTTAACTTCCTTTTTTATTTCTTAAATATTTTTCTAGATGCCCTATCTCCTATTTTGTGAACATGATTATGTTTTCAAAATAGGTAAAGAGTGATAGCTCAATTGATTAACAGAGTAGGAAGGTGAGTGCACAAAACACCTAAAGCTATTTGATCGTGGAAGAAAACAGACAAGAGTTGAGAAAGGATTTTATTAGGTACATTTTCAAGTTTCAATCTGCAGATCTTGATGTTTTTTAGACCCGCCTTCTCTAATTTCATTTTTCCACAGCATTTTTTTTTCACACTTAAATCCTAATTTGGCGCTCCTAATGTGTATACGTTTTTATCGTCATTTTATTGCATCGTCATTTAAATAGTATATTTAGGATGATTATTATAACTCTGTATAATAAAGGCAATAATGTATAAGTTGACTGTTATAAATAATTTATATTATTCTTTTGAAATTTAAAAATAATTTAGAAGGATGCTGTCATGCTGAAAATCCCTTATCACCAATCAGAAAATTAGATATTACTCACCACGATAAGGATGATGACAGTACACGAGTAGAAAACAGAATCTCTGAATAAGGGCCACCAGGTCAACTCCACCACCTTAAGATCAAAAATATCTAATATTACATCTAATAACTTAGATATCTAATATTATATTTAATAACTAGATATCTAATAATAGGCTATCGGTTTTTTTAGTTATATATACATATTTGAGGAGACATTTTCAAGGGTATTTATTGTTGTTATTGTCTTGGCTATTTCAGTGCTTAGTATTTAAAAAAAGAGTGTTTATTAAACAAGGTAAATATCATAAAGTGGTGGCATTATGGGTACGTTTAATGTGACAAACAAATGTATTTGCTTTCACTTTAATTTTAACCCCTTAATGGACACATAATTTTGAAGAAAACTGTCATAAAAGTGCAAATTTTTTTATTCAAAAAAAATTGCTTAAAACTAAGTTTATGCATTCAATTTTGGGTCAATATTTAGCTTACCTTGTTTGATGAGTGCTGACATCTAGTTTAAGATAAACTAACCATCTATAAACACATTAAAAATAGTCTGGTACTGCCCTCTGGTGTATAAGATTGAGGCATAAACATGGTTCCGGGAATAAAAATAGAATGTTTTGGTCTTTTTGGTTCGTTTCTTTAGAATAATTCAGCCCGGAAATATCACGGGCACGAGAAAGAGAGTGCGAAACTTCACCCCGTCATTCTGACGAGAGCGAGAAGGAAGCGGTTAACATAACTAATCCGCATTAGTTTAGAGACACTTGCATGATTTTTGTTTTGAATTCGTTTGCCGTAAATAAGATAAGGCAAAGAACTATTTAAAAGCCTTCTAATAGATCTATAACAAAATAATTTGGATATTAATTTTTTCTTATTTCTCTGATTGTAGCCACTCTACAAATGTCACATGTTCCACCCACTCAACACTGCATACGTTAACTTGGAAGCAGAAAACCCTTTCCACTGAAAAATATTAATTTAATCGAGCAATTTAATTACTGGACTAAATTAATGTTTTTCGTTACTGTGATGACCATTCGTTTATATTTATTGTCGTTGTATATATGTGTTAAATATTTTTCGCGTGTTAATTTTCCCCGCTGTTTCTTTAAAGATGGTTTACTTTTAAATTTAAAAGCATACTACTATTTGCCGCAATACCAAAGTTACCAACCTAGACGATTTTTTGGAGGGAAATTTTTCAGTGGTAGTAAAATGTAACTGAATCTTTTTTTTAACGTGGGCTGATATTATTTTAATTTTTCTTTAACATTAAAATATGGTTTTTGATACTGATAAAATCTTTCTCAGTGAGCGCAATAATTAGTACAATTGTAAATATTCCTCGATATAGTGTGTGAGTAACGTAAAAACAAAAAAGTAATAATGAGAGAAAGGATTCTATAAATCGGAGAATCAGTTTAAAATTATATAAGAAATAGTTCATATATCTGCCTTTGTGCTGTAGACGCTAAGAACGCAATTTTTTGGATGATTGTTTTAAGATATCGTTGAGATTTTAGATTTATGTAATTCATCGGTATATAGAACGTCCCAAAAAAAAAAAGAAAAAAAAAGTAAAAGGAAAATGGTAATTTCTCAAATGCACAGTGCTTTTTTATTTGGTTATTCTTTGTTCATATTTTTTTTGAATTTATTAATTATTTGCATAATGAGACAAGGCAATAACTCTAATAATTTAAGAACAGTGATTTAATAATTCTAGTCTATAACTGATTCAATGGAAGAACACTGATTTATTAATTTTAAGCTTTACCTTATGTAATTTAAAAACACTGATCAAAGAATTATAAACTATAAGTCATATAATCTAAGAGTAATGATTTAAAGAATTTCAAGCTATAACTCATGTAATTAAAGAACATTAAACGATGAAATTTAAGCTATAACTAATGTTATTTAAAAAACCTAACTAAAAATGTAAGTTTTTTTTCCTCGATTTACTATAAATTAACAGTACTCACAACAAAGCAGCATTTCATTATTAAAAAAAATAATATATTGCAAAAATAGGAGAAATAAAAAAAGACTAGCATAAATAGAATATATGAAGTTAAAAACATTATAATCATTTTCATAAAATAAAATTGATCAATATATTTAATTTAAGCATTTTACAAACTTAATTTTAATTAGCATATAACTTTTACTGATTATGAGTTAGTTTTTTTTTTCATTCATCAAAGACTATAAAAGTTAAAAGAAAGAAATTCCTGATACTTTCGAAGACTTTAAACAAAAAGAAACTAAACGAAAGTAGAGGGAGAAAAAAGTAAAAAGTTCCTATAAGAAATTCTTAATTAAATTTATTTCGAAACAAAAAATAAAAACCACCGTGGGCTTAAAGAAAATGCAGAGGTAAAAGATACGTAATTTTTAATTATCGTCTAATAAGAGGGAAATCTATACAATATCAGTATATTATTTGGCAAACTGCGAACTATTTATTTTTTAATTATATTTTAATGTTTTGTTTCTTCAATGAATGCTAAAACAATAATCAAAGGAAACTAAATCAAGTATTACTTTTACTGTCATACTTAATTTAATTTTTATTAAATACTGATTACTGAATAATCTAAAACTTTGCTGTCTTTCTTTTCACAGTGTATTAGCTTTTCACTGATTGCTGACCTCAGTAATAGTGTCTTTATTCTAACAGAATCATCATGGTATAGATTGGAGAAATGGAATCGTTAGTTTTTGTATTTTGCTTAATAAATTTTTTACGTAAATTGCACAGAATATGCTTACCCTGCCAGAAAAAATGCCACATATACCTATCACAAACAACACATTAAAAACTGCAGATCCAACTATTGTTCCTGTTCCTACATCACCTTTGGCAACAAGAACACCTAAAATAAAAAGAAAAAGACTTAAAACTTCGAGAAAATTTAAAGACTTTAAACAACAAATTTACTCTTTCACACCTGTTGTAATTTTTATACAAAGCAACTTTCAAGGATTTTTGTAAACCTCCAGCACTGTTATAATTTTCTTCAACAATTATGACAACACTAATCTTCTGTCAAGTACCCTTTTTTACGTGCATTTGAAAAAACATATATGTATATTCTTTTAGAAAATAGCTTTTATATTTATGTTCAACACCGTAGCCTTAAAATTTCGAACCCAATCCAGAAGACAAGGGAACTCCTAAATTAAGTAAGTGTAGGGAGAAATTTGCAGACCTGCCAACTTTCAATCCTTTCGAGGATGGTTTTCCCCAGTGGTAGTAAATTCGAATTTAAATTACACATCTAGGCAGCAACATATGCTGTTTTTTGGATAAGTTTATATGGACAAGCACTTCTTTCTTTCTTCATTTATAAAAAATTGGGCACCTGGGCAGCGCAGAAGGCCCCTATCCCATCATGAAATAGTATAAAAAGTTAAAATAAAAGACAGTTTGATTTCAGCAGTCTATGGGGTGGCTGTTACAGGGAGACAAGCACCTTGCTTGTATAACTGAAAGAAAATGAAAATAATAAGAGCAACTTGCTGTAATCTGTGGATGGCTNCAATTTCTATTCTTAACCATTAAAGCTTTTATAACTATCTGTATTGCGTGCTTATTTTAAACCACCAAAACCAAGAACGAATTGATGTTACATAAAAAATTATGTTTAAATGAAACAGCATTTTTCAATCTTTAAAAGAAAGTTTTTTTTCTTTATTATCTTTCCTATTTTAATCCTTTAACAACAGTGAGCTTCAACCAACATGCCGACTACTATTAATACGACCACAAACGGAAATGTTAAGTAACGATTTTCGAACATTCTTTTAGATATTTTACAAAAGTATTTTCAGTTTTCTCAGTACGCTTATAAGCGCACCCACAAAGTACTATCACGATTTAATTCCTTTTTTTTTTATAAAAACAACCAAAAGGTATTTTAAAAAAGTTAAAGACTACATGAACTGAAAAAAAAAAATGTAGTAAAAGCTCATGTCATAATGTAATTTCAGCAGAGAAAACCTAACGATCTATTGATATTCACAAGAGACGTACCTTGACATAACCTTAAATCCGTCACATTGTCCGTGGGATTGTTTTCACTCATTTTTTACAATTGTTATCCGCTTAATTTGAAAATAAAAAATACTACCCTATTAAATTATATGTGTATCAAAACAAACTAAAAAAATATTTATAGAAAAACAACACTTTTATGACTTTTATTATTTTTATGCTAGTGAGAACCAAAACAATATGGAAATGAATGAGGGAAAACTGGATCCTACCACGTGATTTCCCGGCCAATGAAAATGTAGCGCTAAACGTTTAACGCAACCTTGTTGAAAGTCGCAATAAGATGTATAACTTCATTAGCTTTTAAAATCAGTTAGTAACACAGCAGAAACTAAATGTTTATTAAATTTTTAACTTAGTGGCTTTCATCTAGACTAGGGATTCGCAGCGCGTGTTGAATCCCTGAATAACCTTATTCATTTTAAAACAATAATTTGCTAAGAAAAGGAAAGAGATCGTAAAAGGACAAGCATTCTAGATAATCACTAGTAATGTAAATATCATGGTTGATGTTGATTAAAAAAATTAAGTGAATTAATCAGTTAAAAGATTGATTAAGATGGAATCAATAAATCAATCGTATTCAGTCTAATATGCTTACTACGAATATTTTACATGATATTGTTGCCTTAAAAGCAAAAAAAAAAATTTAATTTTTTAAAAATCAAACTTTATTCACATGATGTCGGAAATTTTGATACCTTTTGTGACTATAGTACAAAACAGCATTAGCTGTTTTGCAGTCTAGTACTATAGTTACATTTCTCATAACAGTCACATTTTGTCTGTTGTAAGGAATAAAATAAATATATTTTATTTTAATATTATTTTAATTTTTAACAAAATACCAACATCTTAAAAATCGTAAAACTTAGTAATCTGATTAAAATCATCTACGAGATTCTTTGATTATATTATATATATAGCAGATGCTTGGCCCCTGTTATTGTTCTTTTTTGGTGGTTTTTTGAAGACTTACAAGCATGCATTAAAAATAAAATCCATGAATTAATGAAAAAAATTAAATTAAACGAATAATGTACCTTACAAGAAATTATTTAAACATATTATGTATGCATAAATTTTATTTCATTGTGCATTTATAAAAAACTTATATTTATTTAATATACATTTATTACGTAACATATTTATGCGCTCTTATTTATTTAAATTGTTCTCTTTATTAGCAAGGATGAAATTAGACATTTTGTTTAGACCTTTAATTACTACTTATAACAACGAGGAAAACGAAGTTTTGAAGCTTATGAAAAGTTCAAGAATACTTGTGGCATTGAAAACATGCATGTTTGTGGCATGAATTAAAAATTCTTCGGAGATTGCTAAAATTCGGTTTAATCTCAGAAAAACAAAAGGGTAAGAGGAAAAAAAAATTTCTTGAATCTCAATGGTAAACGACGGACAAATATAATTTCTCCGAAAACGCTATTCAAAATTTGCATTTGCCACGCTTCTATAAATCTTAACGTGGTAATTTTATTCACTTCAAACTTCCGGAAATAACTAAAAGAATATTTCGAGTTTTTTTTATGATGTCAGATTGTTTTCTCCTTTTAAAAGAGCCTACAGATTTTTTTAACAGAAAATATTGATTAATAAAGTATTGAAACAAACCTTTTTTTAGTGCATATTATACGAAAGTTTCATTACAAAAACATTGTTAAGAAATGCATTATAAACTATTTTTAATTAAAAAAACTTTTTTGAAAGGCTAGAGAATTTTAACATAATAAAAACCTCATTTTGACATTGTTTAGGAGAGCACTTTGAAATGAAAACCTCCAGCGATTTTCATGAATACAAAAGATGACCGTGTATTGTGCTACCATCAAGTGGAAATTTCAGAAACTTATACATATATTGGATATCTGGAAACACTGCTAAGGAAAGGTTTTATTTAAATTTGTTACCTTTTTAAGAAATGTGGCTTATTACTTTATTACATAGCTGCCAACTTTCACTCTTTCCGAGAATGGATTTTCAGAGTGGTTGTAAAACAATAAACGAAAAACAATTTGACTCAAAAATATATTTATATTTTGATCCCGTTGAAATTCGCTCGAACGAGGATTATTTTGCTTTTATATATTTATTGTAATTATTTATATGTAATGGTAGTCAAACTCATTTATAATTATCATTATAATTCAAAAAGTTAATTGGAATAATCTGAATATTGCTATCATTTTAAATATGATAATAAAATCTTGTTGAGTTGGCAGGTATGTTATTATATACCCTCCAACTTATGAGGATTTTGAAAATAATTCTTTCTAGTGGTAGCGAACCAAAGTAGAAATTTTTAAAGCAAATGGATCTCTCATAAAACTTTTATCAGAACTTAAGAATCTAGCCATATGGCCTGCACTTTTATAAGTAATAGTGGACAAGTTACGCTAAAATTAATTTTTTTTAAATATTAAGACATTAATTTTGCTACCGTCTGAAAAGAAGATTTCTGAAACTACGGAAATTCCGTAGCAGCTGGAGGGACTTTGTGGTAATAATATTACCACAAAGTCTTCATGTATTTAGATGATATAAGTAAATACTATGCTCCGTCCTTTTACTACACTAGAACTTAATAAAATAAAGAGTTTGAAAAATCTATGTTCAAGAAATTACTTTAAGCTTGAACTAATTCAACACTAGTATTATGTTTTAGGTATCGATCTTAAATGGAAAATTTAACTAGGGAATAAAACACTACCCTATTGATCTGCTTCAACTTTAACTAAGCTAACAATCAATATCAATGAAGTGATCTATCAATCTTCGCATAATGGCAGTTTAAACAGTTTTACTTGCCCCCCTCCACCTAAATTTATGGGATTCACGTTGTTTAGGATAGTTCATTATTCGTCCCAGTAGAATATAAATTTGGGTTGGCAGAAACGGTTCTGTGATAATCTACTTTTTTGAATAACAAGTAAAGCACTCAGTACCCTTTACGAACGAACCAAAGTTAAATTTTCCACACAAAATAGATTTAAATCTAAACACTTTGTGAAAATTATTTCTTCTGTTGTAATATGAATATCTTAAATATGCCGACTAGAACTATATATTAGTTTATAATTAGAACAATATATGACGTACAATTAATATGACGCCAATTAATCTCATCTTATATGATTCTAAGTTCTACCCTGTGAACATGTTAAGAATACAGTCAACTTTAAAGAGTTTTATAAAAATATGCATTAAGCGTTTAATTGACGAGGTCGTTTCGATAAGAGGCGTTGGGGGGTAGTGATATTTTTCAACAAGAATAATTCGAAAAAAACTTTTTTTGTGTTGAATTCAATAAACATATCCAATTATTTCAAATTATGTAAACCATTTGAAATAATTGGATATGTTTATTGAATTCAACCCAAATGCTGTAAACCCAGCGATGGTTCAGTCTTCCAATGAGGTAAACCGGGTTCGAATCCCCAGCGATGGCTGATCGATGCGAATTCAGGATCCGGCTTGCACGGACCCCTGTGCTAACGTAAAATATCCTCAGTGGTAGACGGATCAAAGGTTAGAGTTCCTTTGCAGTCAGGCTAACCGTGAGAAGTGCTCGTGGTCTTCCTCTCCATCTTACGCAAATGCTGGTTAGTTCCATCAAAAAGTCCTCAACGAAGGCGAATTTCTCCCAATGCTTGATACAGGAGTTCCCTTGTCTTCTGGATTGGATTCAAAATTACAAGGCTACGGAGTTGAACATTAGTAGTCGTAAACACAAAAAATTGGGTCGGCTGTTCAACGACGGTTATAAATAAATAATTGATATAAATCCAAGCATTTTGCAATCATGAGACAGACTTTGAGGGGAGGTAGGGCACGTAAGGATTAAGAATTGCATAGGAACCCATGACCGGAAATGTATTCGTTCATCGATAGAAGAACTTCCCTATCATGTACTTTTATTTATTTAAATCATCTTAATTTTATGTTTTCTAATAATTATTACTGAAAGTTGTTATCAAAATATCTTAGATTTATGTTGTCTAATAATTATTGCTGAAAGTTGTTATCAAAATATCTTAATTTTATGTTTTCTAATAATTTTTGCTGAAAATTGTTATCAAAATATCTTAATTTTATGTTTCCTAATAATTATTGTCAAAAATTATTATCAAATAGACTCATAAATAGCTGTTTTATAGTAATTTAATAATTTGGCAAAGTTGTTAAATTAGTCTTCAAAAATTACGCTACAAAACCTAATACTGAACCAAAATGTAATTTTCGACAATAGTAATTAAAAAACATGAATTTCAGAAAATTTAGATTTAAAAAAAATACCTGTAGATTTAAGAAAAGTGCCATATCTGCGTAAGAGGACATTTCCAGCCATGATTTCTTTTGCAACTCTTATTTGGGTACTTGCAACTAGAGAAGAAGACGATCACTGATACACAGACATGTGACCTATGACATCAGCGGCAGCTAATCGTTTGTAAGCAAGATGGCGTGTTTAAATAGAGCTAAGTTTCTCCACATAAGTTAGAAAGTTATCGTAATTATTCGATATATTAAATAAGTTAAGTAAAATCTTAAATAAATTATCGTAAAGTTATAATCAAAGTCCCGTATCACACATCAAATTTGTTAAAATATAATTCCTTCTTTTCTACGTCTTTTAATTTACTTAGATTTATTATTTGTATCTACATTTTATTGTAACGGTGATATATTTTTGTTTTGTCTACCTGATAACTTCGATGCATAATTAGCTAGTTTATATTTTACGTGGCTTAGTGTCTGTCATTGTGTTAAGTACGAAATATATAATGAAAGAATTTTAATTTTTATGAAAAATATTTGTGAAAGAATATAGAATGTGTCAATTAAGAGAATTGCTTACGTTAGTAACTGTTCTTTCCATACTAACTCTTCTTACCAGGCTTCTAACATATTTTTCATACTATTTTCTTTCCTACTAATTTCAGGGCATGCATGGATTCTTTGCGATTTTCATCCTCTCATCGTGGTAAGTTTTCATCGTCTTGATGACTCTTATCGACCTATTAAGACTTATTGACTTAGTCGATCGAATTTTGGCACTGTCTGTTTATACAGTTTACGTGACTGTTATGACCTATTGAGACCCATTGACTTAGTCGATCGAATTTTGGCACTGTCTGTTTATACAGTTTACGTCTGAAGTAAATTTGGGATGATTTGTTCAAGTTAGAAGCTCTTTGACTTAAATGTAGATTCGAGAAAATATTTAAATTTTTCTGGAAGCAAGCATTGAACTAAGAGGATATGCGCATAGGTTCAATTCAAGTACTTATATATTTTTCTGCTCATAATTCTTTGTTTACAAAATTTTAAAACACCTTATAATAAATAAAAAAAATGTAAAAACTATTTATAATGTACGTGTAGGAACCCTTTCAATATCTTAAACAGATAGCACAATTGATAGATGAAGGATAAAATAATATTACCTAAAATTGCAGTAAAAAGCTCAGGAGCAGAACTTCCAGCAGCCATGAAAGTAGCACCAGCGACATCTTCGCTCAAATTCAGTCTCTGTCAAAAATAAATAAATATATAAAAATAAATAAAATAATAAAATGTAATACAGGAATATTCATGAACAATTTACAATATTAAAAAAAAACAGACCACCCTGAAAATTTTTTGATCAGATCTCTACGCTTAATGGAGAACTCAGTCTTAACGGTTCTAAGAGGTGAATTCAAGTATGCAACTAATTAGTGAAGACGATACTTTAAATTACAAATTCAAACACAAAAAAAAAACATACTTTTTCTGGCTCAACATAGCTTTTTTTCCGACGGATTAAGATTTCTGCAAATATCTGAGAAATATGGCCCCACTAGTTTGGTCAGAAGAGCTATCCAAAGCTTGGAGACCTTAATGTTAATTTTGCTTTTTGCGTATTTCACCATATCTCGGGAACTTTTTAAGTGAATTGAAAAATTTTTGCACACAAGTATAAAAATTTTTTATTTTGAGATAATTCTACGCAAAAAATAACTTATAGTAAATATTTATCACCTTTATTATTTAATAATAGTATAAATGTTTTAGAATTAAAAAGATAAAAATGTTTTACGTCATTTTAAAGAATATATTTTTACGTGACAAAAAGCTAAATTTAAGCGAAATTGGTCGAATAGTTCCTGAGAAATCGATATTTTAAAAAAATCATATTTTTGAAATTTGTTTTCTTGGCGATTTTACAATAACAATAACGGTATATTATGTATTTTTCCGTAAAACTTTACGGTAAAAAGTACAAGCACTCCGATTGCTAGTATTTCTTACCATTTATATAATTTTACTCATAAATTCATGTAAAAAAAAACTTACTTTCTTAAAAAGACTCACGGTGTTTTATTGTAATGAAATTGAGTGCATGAAAGTTTTAAAACATGGATAGCTTTTAACTTCCTTATGAACTTTCTAAATTTGAAAATCTTTGGAAAGTCATGCTTTTGAATTCGATGAAAAGATTATTTCTCTCTAGAGTTTATGGTCGATAGGCATAATATAAAGCTTTTCATCGTCCTGAATTTACATGCGCTAATGCAGGTTCGGTAAGATCTTCTCTTAATCAGTTGAGGTTGTTTAGTTCGAGTAAAGTTTGGTTTAAACTCAAAATAATGATGAAGGTCTAAATTATTCAATTTTGTATGGAAGTATATCATTGGGTATAATTAAAACAGTCGCTTTAAAGAAGATTTTAAATCAACATATTTAAGTGATGAACTTATTATTCAATAATTTACAAGCATATTTGCACTGAAATATATTTCTTGCTTCATGTTCAATATTTATGTGCTGAAAATGCACTGCATTGCAATGCATTGAATGCAATGCATTTTGATTAACTTTTAATTGTTTTTCTAATATTTATTTTATTTTATAATCGTCGTTGGACAGCTGACTCAATTTTTGAGTTTACAACTACCAATGTTCAATTCCGGAGCCTTGTAATTTAGAACCCAATTCAGAAAACAAAAAACACCTAAATGAAGTATTGGGTAAAATTTGCCGTCTGATAGTACTTTTTGGAGAAACTATAACCCCCATTTGCGTTACATAAAACAGCGAAAAACTCCATAGGTTAGCCGGACGGCAAAAGGACTCTAGCCCATGATCTGCCTATCATTGACGATATTTTACGTCAGTAATGTATTGATAGCTTAATAAATTAGAATTAAAAGAATTTCGCCCCCTCCTAAATATGTATAAATAATCTAAACAGATTTATGCATAAGCCCAAATAGAGTAATGGTCATGTTCAGAAGCTCTGATAAAAGTTTTAGATGCGTCCAATTTGATTGAAAATTTCATGCTTTAGTTCAATGCAATTGAAAATATTAATTTTTTTTGTGTTTCTTATTGTTCTATATAAATTCTCTGTTTTTATTGTTCTTTCTAAGTGATGTTTTTTTATAGATTTTCCTTCATTTTCCTTAGTTTTGAAGGAAACATTTCTTTTTAATTAACATATTTTTTAACTACATTTTTTATAGTGATTTTCTTTTCCACTTTCTGGTAAAAAAAATATAATTTTTTTTTCATTAGAAGTTGTATTTTAGACTTTTAAAACTAGTTACATGAGGAAAAAGATAAATCTGTTTTTTATTTTAAATTTTGTATATTGTTTATTTATCATTTATTATTATTTTTAAAATCCATTTACGCATGAAAAAATGGAATGAAGTTGATAAAATAGAATAAAGAATGAAATGTCATCAAANGTGATGTTTTTTTATTACTAATTAACATATTTTTTACCCTACATTTTTTATAGTGATTTTCTTTTCCACATTCTGGTAAAAAAAATATCTTTTTTTTTTCATTTGAAGTTGTATGTTTGACTTTTTAGACTTAGTTACACGAGGAAAAAGATAAATCTGTTTTTTATTTTAAATTTCGTATATTGTTTATTAATCATTTATTATTATTTTTCAAATCCATTTACGCATGAAAAAATGGAATGAAGTTGATAAAATAGAATAAAGAATGAAATGTCATCAAAATGTAGGTATATATATACATATATAATTAACACAATGTCTGTTTTTTTTTACTCAAAACAGAAAAACTGGAAATTTAAAATATAACTTTTATAACTTTTTAAATAGATTTAATCTTTAGAGCTACTAATATGAGAGACTCGGGCGTAGATCTATAATCTTTCAGAGTTTAGATAAATATTTCCTCAATCGATCGGATTTTGGAATTTAAAAAAAATCTTAGATAAATATTTACACAAAATTTTAATTCAATGCACCTAAATTTCATTGCGAAAAGTTGAGTTTCTTGAATATTTTAATTATTGTTATTTAAATTTTCTGTTGACACATGGATAATCTAGCTGCGTTTTTTTAACTCTTGTGCTAGATATATGATCCTTGAAATCAGAATTCTTAATGATTTTCTCTTTCAAAATTGAGTTTCTAAATTATCTACTCCCTATATTGAAAATCTTTCGTATTTATAAATATGATGGCGATAATCTTCATCGGAATTTGAAACACAATATGTGCAATTATTTTGAAGATTTAGTAAAAAAAATTCAACTACTAGAAACAGTATTCAGGGTCTCAAACATTTCACTGCTTTCTTTAAAAGTAAACTCTAAACTAAAATTAGTGGCGCGACAGCCCATATAGGGCCAAGGCCTACTGTGCCCATCTCGGTTTTCTTGACCTTGAGCTCTGGGGTGCAGGATCAGATGTTCCGGCTAGGTGGTCAGCCGAAAGCGGAACTCCCAGTGTTTAGTTCCCAAGCATGCTTGGTACTCATTTATCGACCCACAGAAGGGATGAAAGGCTGAATCAACCCTGCCCGGCCCGAGGATCGAACTCAGGACTTGTGGCATTGGAGCACGAAGAGCTGCCACTTAGCCACCGGGCATCTTTCTTTGAAAGTACGACCACATTTTCAGACTGTCGCTGTCCCATCCCACATTCTCATAAATCCTCAATAATTCTTCGAATAAAAAGGTATGTTTAATGACATAAATTAAAATTTTTGTGTCTGATATCAGAACTTACTTGGTCACCTGCACCATTTCCTTGTTGATGTTTCTTATGACCCTATATGCCAAGTACGCCAGCTTTTGGTGCGAGTAAAATAAGTCAGAAAGATGTGCTTTTCGTTTTAAACGAGAGCACCGAAAGGGTAGCAGTAGAAAAATGGACTTAAGATGATTTTTGTATTGCAAGTAACTGGCCGGTAGGAAAGAATAGCCTGGCAACCCTTGTACTTACGTTATTTTTTTTCCATCTGTCACATCACTGCTTTAGCATCTTGTGCTTATTGAGCACATGCTAATTTGAAAACTGTAGATTTTACTGAGAAATATAATTTTTTCAAACGTATCGCGAATTAAATAATTTCATACTATCAAAGAATTTTGCGAAAACTTCACCAAGATTACAGAGCATCGTGTTCGACTAGATGTTCCGATTTTTTTTATTTTAATGTTACGAATATGTTTATTAATAATAACCGAATATTATTAAAAATAAGCAAGTTTTTGGTAATTGCCTTGCAACTATGCACCTTAATCACTCTAAGTGGTAAATAAATAATTGGCATTGTAGTTTGGTAAGTGTAATTAATTAGGCATAATTTATTGAAACTTCAACTCAAACGTAATTTTTATATGCCAATGTGTTGGAATAATAAATTTTCCAAGTAGAGTGTTACAACTTAATTGTAACACCTTTTATTTGATCAATCTTGCAAGCTCCATTGAACAATTTTAATGTAACGAGCACAACTTATGTATGCTTCTAACACCCTATCATCTAAGGGAAGGCAGAGACATCTAGGTCAGGGTGCACCATGCAACCACCAGACGAAGGAATGCAGAGACATCTACAGACGGACACCACCTGGGTGATGGAGAGATGGGTTGACCTTTCTGATAAAAAGTGGCAACGTTTATAAAGAATGTTCTGGCCGGTTCTTTTAGTGGCAGATGTGGTTGTAAAGAGATAGATGAAGGTGAGGGGGCCTTCGGTCCCCTACTTTGATTATTTTTCAGCTTCGATGGAGAGTTGGAATGGCATGTGAGATTGATAAATATAGTTTTTACTCACGATCGGAGTTAATCCGAATATTGGTGTTTTAGACACAAATTTAATTTTTATATTGTTTTGGTAAATAACTACCACTTAATTCTATAATGTCAATTTTATTTTATTTTTTTACTACGTCGACTTCAAGATTAAATATTATCTTTGAGTAAATTTTTGTGTCTGTCTCCTTTCCAGCTAGTCTATCATTTTTTTATTTTCAGCCTTAACCTAATTTTATTCTAATTATTTTTAACTTCTAGAGAATACTTTTTCGCAATTTTTACTTCCACTTTTTAATTATTTTTGGACCACCACGCGTGGTACTAAATTTAGTTTTGTACAAATATTTGTAGGGTACCATGTGGTACAATACTAATAATATTTTATTCATAACATTAAACTTTTAATACGGTTATTTTTAGGTACTAATTATTTTAACACACCAATTTAAGCTTTAGGATCAACACAAGACCAACTTTATTATAGAGTTAAAAATAATGTAGTGTTAAAAATAATGACTACGTAAAATATGAATTTTTACCTAAGTTTAAATTTAAAATAATAGCTTTAAAAATTCAATCGTATCATCATTTCTCTTGATGATGGATAATTTTTGAAATCTTGAGTTCATAAATTTTAATATCGTTAAAAAACATGAATGAAAATATTTGCGTATAGAAAACGGCTATTATCAACAACGGTTTACTCAAAGTTGTCATTGCCCAATTTACCTTGTTTCGTAAGGTTAATTGCCACTGCCCGTTATATCCCTGCCCTGATGTTTTTTTTCTTAGTTAAAGGCTATTGACCGGTATTGACACGGTATATCTGCACTATCAAGAAACTAAAATTGTCTGGCTGGTTGCACAGGAAATTATGAGTATTAGAGACTCTAGCCAAATGCGTTGAAAATTATTGCACGAACCAAATTCCATATGTAATTAATAATAATAACCAGTAAATATGATAAATTCTGTTAGATTATTCATTTTAACCACATTTTATCACACTTGAATAACATGGTGAAGATGATGCTCCAGAGAAGGATTAAAATTTTCGAAGAATTCTCTCAAAGATGACAACTAAACAGGTGTTGAGTTCTTAAAATAGTTATTAGTAAATTATAAATCTCTAGTAAAACGTCCTGCACGAAACACTCTTCACACGGATGAAAAAAATATATAACTTTAAAATATATTTTGGAAGTTTGATTACTGAACTGCAGTTATTACTTTGAAACAATTTAAAATCCTCTGAAACATCAAAAGATTTAATTGAACAGTAATCAAGTAACTTTATGTAAAGATATGCTTTAATTTTTTTAACCATAATTCCCTTTCATATTTTTATATAATTATTTTTGATTACTTGAGGATAAAAATGTAAAAACTATGATTAGAAAAGCAAATAAAAATAATGGAAATAAATACAAGAAACATATTAAAAAATCTTGAAACTAAATAAATGAAAAACACGCAAAAAAAAATATCAACCTGCTGCTCAGGCGCAACTCATAAAGAGGAGAAATATGTGTGAGTTACGTTGATTTTTAATTTGTAATAATACGCGCTCCTAATTTGTCTAATAACTCCTAATTTAAAATATTTTGAATCTATTGCACTGAAATGGTAAGAAAACAGGTGTTAAGTAGTTTTTCTCGAAATCTTTCTTTGCGCACTTACGTTGTTTCTTTGATTGCTAGGCAGTATAGTCGTCATTCATTTTGTTATGTTGTCCTAAGAAATAATCAAATAAGTGTTAAAATTTCAAAAAGGTTAGAGTAAACATTGGCCAATGTAGACTAAAACAAGCAGAAACACGAAAAAAGCGTAAATGAATGTACAGAGTTATGCANCTTCCTGCACGAGACACTCTTCACGCAGTTGGGGAAAAAATATAACTTCGAAATATTTTTTGGAAGTTCGATTACTGAACTGCAGTTATTATTTTGGAACAATTTAAAATCATCTGAAACATCGAAAGATTTAATTGAACAGTAATGAAGTAACTTCATGTAAAGATATGCTTTAATTTTTTTAACCATAATTCTCTTTTATATTTTTATTTAATTATTTTTGATAACTTGAGGATAAAAATGTTGAAAATATGATTTAAAAAAGCAAGTAAAAATAATGGAAATAAATACAAAAAACATATTAAAAAATCTTGAAACTAAATAAATGAAAAACCCACAAAAAATAACCTGCAGCGCATGCGCAACTCATAAAGAGGAGAAATATGTGTGAGTTACGTTGATTTTTAATTTGTAATAAGACGCGCTCCTAATTTGTCTAATAATTCCTAATTTAAAATATTTTGAATCTATTGCATTGAAATGGTAAGAAAAACAGGTGTTTAGTAGTTTTTCTCGAAATCTTTCTTTGCGCACTTACGTTGTTTCTTTCATTGCTAGGCAGTATAGTCGTCATTCATTTTGTTATGTTGTCCTAAGAAATAATCAAATAAGTGTTAAAATTTCAAAAAGGTTAGAGTAAACATTGGCCAATGTAGACTAAAACAAGCAGAAACACGAAAAAAGCATAAATGAATGCACAGAGATATGCATACTACAGTTTCGGTTCATTTAAACAAGAGCCTTCCTTAGTGACTAAACACTAAATAATAAAGAAGACAAATACGGGAGACAAACACGTAAAGAGGCACAATAAAGAGACAAACACGCGCAAAATAGTTTAACCTGTTGTTTAATAATATGCTCGTTTCGTTGCAAAGTTATTTCAAGTAGAAAATTTTGCTAATAAATTGAAAATTAAGTTATATTTTCATATTTAAAGCATTGAATCAGTTTAACAATAATAAACGCAACTTTGGTGTAGTTGGCGTAGTTCAAGGCATAATTTTGACACGAAGTAAAAAAAAAATTTTTTTTTTAAAGAAACTTCACCAACTGTGGTATCAGATTCCCTTTTGCTATTCCAATCTGGACATTTTTGAGGAACCTTGACTAGTTTGAACCCCATACTTCACTAGATATAGAGGAATTTATTTGATATGAAGAAAATAAGGCATTCCACTCACCGCACAACATTCTTCCAGAGAGGCAACGAAATAATCGTCACAGACGACGGCAACTGCATAGAACATGTACACGATGACACATATATGCACGATGACAGCTCCGTGAGCCCTTTGATTGTGAGTAAAAAGATCAGGAGGAAATTCGTGATAAGCTGAAAGAAATGAGTAGATCATGTTATTTGCCAGAAAAAAATATGTTTTTTGTTTGAATTAGACTTTTCAAGAATATATCATGAAAATATGTGCTATATGCTCCATTTTGAGTTCTAATGAGTTATAAGCTAATCATTTTTAACATGTGGATATAAACTACATTAAAATAAGAAAGTTCTATGCTCATGGGGATATCAATATCCCCATGAGTTCTATTATCTCTTTTTTACTATTATTTTACTAACCGTAATGAATTCTTAATAAAACCAACTTATTTTCTTCAGACAACAGAAGCTTTAAAACCATGGAGATGGCTCTAGACCAAATACTCATTGCATTATTTTTAATTAATTTATTTATTTTTGCAGTTTCGGCAGGTATAAAGAGTACGCTATACAATGGGATTAACTTATCTCAAATTCTGCTTCATTTCCATAACTAATTTAAAATTTAAAATATAGAAAAAGTGAGTTCATTCAAGCCTAAAATAAGCCATGAAGTTTCAGTTAATGAAAAAAAATGCAAAAACATCAAAATTCAAACACATTATGAGAAGAAAACTTAGTTGCTTAATCCTAAGTTATCCTCTCATAATTTTTTTTTTTTTTTTTTTGATATTGTGAAAATTTCTTTTCAGTATGTTAAACTTCATGACTTAATTTGAGTTAGGTTTGTCTGAACTCACTTTTTTCATACTTTAAATTTTAAATTAATTATGGAAATGAAAGGGGATTTGCGATGAAGAGTTTCTCCCGCGATATAGCGTCTTCTAAACTCTAGATGCCCAAGGGTGAGTTAGTATGAGGCGTAGTTAGAGATCGTTAGAACGGACAGGTAATTCATGTCACCACGCGTTATAATATACAGAATTACACAGTAATATACAGAAAATAAGTATTGACCTCCAAAACCTTTGTTTAACTCTCGTAAACTTTTTTTTCAGAAAGGTGAAGACTGGTCACTCAATTATGACATATTTTTATTTTAATAAAGCGAAACAAGACATTCGTTCACCAAATTATATCAGTGTTGCAAGCAAATTTTTTTTTTTTTTATATGACCAACTTCGTTTTCTTGTTTTAACTTCATATGTTGACCTGACACAGTTATACATAAAATATATCAAAAAAGTAAATGTTACTTATTTACTATTTAGTCCTAATGAAGCGGTAAATAAATAGCTTGATCATCAATTGTAGAATACTAAGTCTTAGTTTACAATATAACAAAAGAATTTAATTTATAATTATAAGGAAATTCAAATTCTGAATACCACTTATCTAATGGAAATGGTATCGATAACAGCCAGTGAGGAATATAAATTACATAAGAAAAAAATTTCAAATGGGATAGAGGAGGATATCGTTATTCATTTTGCTAAGTTTTTAAAGTTGGATGTAAAAATTTATGAATTTAATATATAAATTTGAAGTCTTGATTACGACATATTACTAGGAAAGTGTGCCACGAAGGGTCTGATGTATTTGTCTTCTTCTAGGTTCTGAAAAACATCCTTAAAGTATCGCATTTTAGAGCATTGTCAAAAAATTTTTGATTTAATTTGGCGATGTGCTTGTCGAATCTTTCTAAAATTCTTAAACTCACCAGAGAAAAAATTTTAAGTAAAAAATCATACAAAAATATTGCGGATACAAAAATTGCTAAAAATATTGCTTTACCTTAAAATAAAAAAGAAATCTGGGTATTAAGAGTAAATGTATTTTCTAAACAGATAAGTAATGTACTGGTACTATTCAATTCTTTTTTTTTTTTTTTTTTTTAATTTTAGGCTGAAGACAGCCAAAGATATCTTGATTTCCTACGGTTAAAAAATATTATATCATGCGATTTTTCTGCCCACTGAAGGAAAAAAAATACTGAAATGACAATCTTTGAATAATTCATAGAACTATGGTTCAGATTTTTTTCTAAAATTATGGTTTAAATTTTATGGTTAAATTTAACTCGGTAACTTTCTTTCGATCAATAGATTTTATTCATGAAGCGACACAAATGCTTTATCTCCCATAAATTTTAAATCATAGTTCCACAAAAACAAAAAAACCCTGAATAACCTGCTGAAAAAACTGAATTTACTTTTTGACATTTTATAAATTCATCGTTTATAAGATACCTCGTACAAAAGATTAAAATAGAAACTGAATCCAGAAATTCCCATTCATTTCTATTTTGCTGTTCAAGAATTTTTACAACGGAAGAATTAGTGACGCCTCATCAACGTGGAAAAGGTTGGAAAATTTGATGGTTCCTCTTCCTTTCATTCAGTGAAGCACCACCCAATTTCACGCCCCACGTGATGCTCGTAGGATTTTCAGTCGATTCGGCAGAAATATATTCGACCGTCTTCAAAAGGCAAATCGATCTCTCAAATGATGACGTTTATCACGCGAAATTCCAACTGTTCTACTACCGACTGTTTGCAAAATAATTTTTGAAAATCTTCTGATTTCGTGAGCGGTTGAGTTTTTTTTCTCCCTTGAATATATCCGATAATTATTTCTAGGATTATTAATGACAAATCATTTCTTAATTCGTTGCCATAGTTATGTTTTTTTGGCATAAGTGAATCTTTATTTAGTTTGGAGAGTCGATTAGTTTTATTAAATAGTCTTCGTTTTTTCACAAATTAATCCCCTCACAGTGATGTAATTGCAACACTGTTTCCTAAATAACGATTTTTAGAGCTATGTTTGCTGTTAGCTTGCGTTCGAACATATATTGATCTCTAAGACACTCTAAATTTAAACACATCATGGCACTTACTGTCGTAAAACTCCTAGTCAGTTGCATAAAAGCAAACTTTAATGGTCATTTGGGAAGATTTCATTCTTGCTGGCATGTACGGTAGTTCGAAAATATTCTACTACTGCGAGTTTGTACGGTTACTTGAAAAGACTGTCTACCATTGTCCACACCTACAGCTTTATAAAAAGATTCTACTTTTGCCGAATTGTACTGTTGTACTGGGAAGATTCTTCTATTGTTAACTTGTGCCGTCGTTTTAGAACGATTTTTCCACTGCCGACTTTAAACGGTCGTTTGGAATATTTTTGAAAATGGAGTTGTAAAATAATAAAATTTTAGAAATGTTTTCAAAAAATCAAGCTACTATGCTGACACCTAAAAGCATAACAACCAAACTAATAAATTTTTATTAACAAGTTTGAACTATTGATCTTCCGTTTATTTATTACTGTAGTATTAGACATTGTCTTTCATAGCTGTCAAACTTACCAAATGTAACATTTGAATGCAAATATTTAACCACACATTCTGCAGATAAAATGTAGAATTTCTTTATTGTGTTGCAGATTAAAACTGAAATTCCGATATTAAGCATAGCAAAAGAAAAAATTTTGAGCAATATTCGAATAGCATTTTCTTTTTTACTTTGGTTTATAACATTTTAAATTGGTCGTTTGAAAAATGTCAAATTAGATTGAAGTGAACGATATAATTTTTGATGAGCAACAAATGAGTAGATTTTTGCTCTAATTTATTTATAATTGCTTTTTATATTCCTTTGCCTATCATGGTCGGTAGGCACTTTATTTACGTCGCACTAGAGTAGCACAATGGGCTATTGGAGGCGGCCTGGGAAACATCCCTGAGGATGATCCGAAGACATGCCATCGCAATTTTGATCCTCTACAGAGGGGACGGCTCCCCTGCTTTGGTAGCCCAACAACTGAGCGTAAAGTCGAGCACTTTACGGTAGAATAGTTTAGCGAGGACTGGTATCGTACCACTCACCCTTGAAGCGAGTATAGCTTTTTAAAATGCTGATCAATGACTTATGAATAATATCCTAGATAACAGGGTAAGTTTGATTTTAACGTCAGCAACAAGGTTCATAAATTATTATTAAATAAACCATACATGCTGGAAACAATGTTAAATTTAACTATGCTAGTTCGCTTTCTCCGAATTGGAGCATAGGGCTTCTATCATAGACTTCCATTTCATTCTATTTGAAACCATGCAGAGAAGCAAAATTTCTGGCCACCAATTTGTATAAACAGCCCTTTTATACCGAGATTGAAACTCCCGTTGCAAAACAAGGCTGGAAAAACCTTCTGAAATCGACGATGAACCATCATTCGCAAATCAAGAGTAAAAAGCGTTCTAAAACCAAAGATAAATTCACATTCTCAAGGTTTATTCTAGATTTTATGGACATGACTAAAACTATGTTTATTCGCTCAGGCTTTAATATACTTTATTTAACATCTTAAAATTGAATGTTGACCTGTTCCTTGAAATTTTAAAACAAACAAAATAAAAACAAAGTTAGAAATGCACAAGTAAAGCTCGAATGAAAGAAAAGGCAAAAACAAGATTTACTAAGTTTTAAAAAATAAGAATAGTCAACTTTCCTATACCACGAAAATAAAAAAAAATACAACGCTTGCTATAAGGTTGTATGCTATTTGGGTATCCCTTTATTATTTATAAAATCCGAATAATTAGCATAAACTTTGTTTGAATATTTTAATAACAGTAAATATATTTTAAGACTCCAAATTCCTCAGGCATATCTTCAAATTTTATGCTCTCATTTATTTAATATTACTTTATGCAAAAAGAAATGGCAGTGCAGAGGAAATCCAAATCCCATCATAATACTTGAAACCACTTAGTAATGATTAATCATCTGTTAAGAATACATCCTCTACGACGGATGCATAGATAATCAAATCACGCGATAAAGCGAAAAAGATGGTTTTCTTTTAATGCATCTCTAATCTGTTTATAACAGAAAATCGTGGCCGTTGTTTTGACATATAACGCACAAATAGGAGAAAGTTGGAACTTATTATCAATAAGTGCGTATAGATCCTTCAGTAATGTTTCACAAAATAGTCTTAAGTTAATTGAAGACTAAGAATTGAAAAACAGTGTAAGCGCATTAGAGGAAGTTCTATAGAATGATGAGAAGGAAAACTTCGAATTCTAATACTTGCAGGGTGTTTTATTT